CACTTTTGAGACCCCTTTCCAGGGTTAAAACGTCGTCTTATATGCCGGAAAATACGGTACATGTCCTTGGTATAGTATGGTTGCTTTTACCAAATATTATTTCATCTAAATCCATTTTATCATTGCCAATTCCTTCTAGTTTAATGTCTGTTTTACATCAGTTCTTAATTTCAAAGCCTACTGGTCTGCTTCTGAGTACAATAAAAACTGTCTGAAGGATGATATGGCTTGGGACCTGGACAGCTATAGCACTTTCTACACATGGGCCTGCACACATCTTACGAATATCCTTGGAAATTCTTTTCTATATGTTTCCATCTCTAAGAAGAGGCAGGCAACAACCAAAGAGATGGATTTGTGGCTACAATGCCAACTATCTTTTCAGTGCAGGAAAAGACATCCCTCACCCTACCTTTTAAAGCTCTTAATGAACTCATTTTATTATGTTGTTCCAATTTCTGATTTTATGTTTTCTTGCACTTACTGACAGATGTGCCATTCACTTCTAGCAAGTCCATGGAAGTAGTAATACCTAGAGTACTATATATATGTTGTAAAAAGATATAGCAGGCCGAATTTAAAATTCAAGAAAACTTTCAGATTAAGCACTTCTTGTGAACCTCAAGACTATCCATTGTTTTTAAGGGCCTTGTCTGTCAAATTACACTTTCAAATTATTAACTCAGGTTCACTAGAAAGGTGAGGTTGCAGTGATGAACCTTTTGACACAATTGCAATATTCTGCTCAGAATACTATTCTTTCTAAAAGCACAAATCCTGGGCCATTATTTTATAGAAGTAGTATATTATTTCTGTACTATGTGTAGAAACTTCACTATGACTTCTCAGATGTGACTACTGGGTGAAGCACTTTCAAAGTAAGTGACAGAGTCCCACAGCAAGTACATGAATCAATTCTTCTGATTTCTTCCACCCAGAAGTAGACATTGCTTTGTTGACAGTTCTTCAGATTTTTTTAATGGTACAGTGGGCCCTCTGTATCTGTGGGGGATCTGTTCTGGATCCCCCTGCAGGTGCCAAAATCTGTGGCTGTTCAAGTTCCACTGACCTCAATGGTAGCACAGCTGCACCACCATTAGGGACAATGGCACTTTACCAACCCAGCTGTCTCCTCCTCCCCCCCCCCCAACTGCCTCTTCCTTCTCCTCCTCTTCCCCAACTGTACCTCTGTTCTCCTCTTCCTCCTTCTCCCCAACTGTACCTCCGTTCTCTTCTACAGTTCCCAGAATTCCATAGCATAGAGGCAGGGCAGTTAAAGTGGGTTCAAACCAGATTAGTTCTGCAGTGTGGATGCAGCCTTCATTTTCATATTTTGTACCTCCTGAAGGAGAAAGCGAACCAACTCCCCTTGCCCTTCTGAGCTACCAGCCCCCTTTTATCTCTCAGCAGCAGATGGAAGAGGCTGAGC